TCGTGATTGGACGAAAACTTCAGCCGCCCTACTTCACAAGGCCGACCCAAGAACTTTCTTCGTTTCCTGTTCCGTACCTGCGTCGTCTCCCATAAATACACCATTACAGCAATTTGAGACGACGACCAGGCGATCGTATAAGCTACTAAAAATTGCTTCCTCGAGAATATCACTCGCACAATGATGGTCACACCTTTCGAATGATGCTATCGCGTGGTAAAACCGTAACAAACTTATTCAAATATCGTTTATCCTTAAATAATGCTCACATCACAAACGTGAGAAGGAACTAGTCACAGTTAAAACCCACGACTATATACCAAGAAGTGAAGATGCAAATCAAGTACTTTACGCAATCATCTTCTTCCATTGTTTGAACTCCATATGTTTTTTAAATATATTCAGTAATCGACATCAGTCACTGAAAGAAGTCAAATTTGTAACGGTTCATGAATATCATATTCAACAGCTTATGGTAATGAATTACGATGAATATGTAGTATTAGAATGTAATTTTTGAATTTTGCCAATTGTTATGTCAGCGCAAAGAACAAATTTCTTTCTAAAAAAAATTACTAATGAATTCGATATGCGTTCATATTTATAGTACAGTATGAACAATCGTTCTGTCATGTACAATTTAACAACAGTTACATACATTGCTCCCAGTGTTACGCTTTATAAACAAGCTGATAGTTTTCAATATCGTTGACAAGAAAATAACCTTTTTTCACTCACCCGCATTCGGACGTTGTATTCACACTCACACCATCCTCTTGCTCAAAGTAACCTCTAAATCGGTTAAAAAGTCGCTGTTGTTTCGCGCCCACGTCTTGCAAGTGCTAAAATGCCATTGGTACGGTTTGCTGAAAAGATCTCACGATAAATTCTTGCAGGTGATTGTACGACTGCGCCATATAGATGGTTAGAAATTGATCTCGAAGCGCGAAAGTTTACGATTTATGAAATTTTCGCAGTTGCGAAATCAAAAGAATGCGAGGCTAATTCTAGTTTTTAATCATACTTGAATATGAAGTTCGAACTTATTAGCAGCAGCAACGTGCATTTGAAATAAATAATATCCATTATTGCTCATGAGAGCAAAGTTGTCGCGAATCCATTTTACTACGGAGGATTTCTGGCATTTCTCTTCGGTCATTATAACTGATTCCACTTAAATTTTTTCTGCTATTCATTTCACCTTGTTTTCCCATTTTTATTTGAAATTATTGGATCTTTCCCGGCGTGTCGTATGTAATTAAAGCGTTTTCGCCGCGCAGAGACAAAAAATCACATGCAAATCGTCATATAGTATTTCACGAAATCAGTCTAAATGCTTGAAATGGCACTCCGTCTTGATAAGTTTCGAAGGGGCCCCAGGAAAAATCGCAGTGTTTTACCAAGAGTTCAAGGAACCGCTATTGATCAATGCAACCAACTGCATGAATGGCGATTATCAACTACAGCTGATCCGATAGCATTAAACATTGGGGTAAAATCTTTGGTAAATACGGCATCATAAGAGTCAACTCGATGCGAATGAAAGATGGATAAATACAAAATATTGTATCACTTTCAAGATGGGTAAACGCTGTTTCGAAACCAATATTTGATATGCCATGCCTGTGACTCAGTCAGTGGGTCAGTCAAATTTACTTGAATTAACCCTAATGCACGGAATAATTCATCGAAACGTGGATTTAGCAAATGAACTAATACAAAACAGGAAAATAAACAGCGCGAAAGTGCATTCCTACTGAATCGACCATATTCTATCAAACATATCAAGGCAGCAGCGTGCTCCCTTCATCGGTACAACCAATTTTATCGTCATACGGTGATGCCAATATAGTTGCAAACAGCAGAAAATAAACTGTTTGAGCTCATGAAAATTTGGTAAAACAGCCCCGCAATTCCTAGAAATTATGTGTAGAAAATTTGTTTTGCGAGTACTCTTATCACAGGATATTGCCACCCATTTTCTCATCCATCTTTGATCTTTCAAACGCTTCGTTTGTTTCTTTTGGAAGATACTGAATCATGACATTTAGAAATTCACGGATTGGTGCTAACTGCTACTACACACATACGAGGTTGACAGATGATTTCGTCAACATCAGGGCAGGTAATTGAGCTTTACGGGATATTTCGTTATCTCCCAGTCGTCCTCAATTCTCATTTGCAATTGACAATGGCGGAGCAAATTTTTTGTGCACTTGTTTTTCTTTTCGTAGCATTCTAAAACATTATTTGTTACATTTCCGGGTTTTAACGACCTGTGATAGGTTAAACCTCATCGAAATGTGGAAGGCGTTTCGGGTTTCGTCGATCCGTGAGGCCCAGTTCTGTGTTTCATCTGTTCCTCCTCACAATCCAACATTCATTTCGTTCAACGGTTGTCGGCATGATACTCAACGAAATATCACTTTCAACCATTTGTTTTCTCGAAGGTTCAAGACCGAAACATCCAAATTCGTAGACTCACCAAGACATTACCTGTTTGTTGGATTTCCGATATGACATTAGAGTACTTTGCTTTAGCGAAACTGTCAGCAAGTTCAGGAATAATGCAATTCTTTGTAATGAATGTACGAGCGCTGAGACATTTACTAGTCGATTGCTACTGACCGCCAATGTTGTCCATAAATCGTGTCTCATTCTGAGGGATAGAATATTCTTTGAAGTATGCCTCATTACTGAAACTGGTTACGGTCTCTCACTGCAGTCGTTAAAAGCAACGCCGAAGGACATTGCCAAACTCCGCTTTGAACCAGCGATTTCGACAACTGCTAAATGTCTGTAGAATTCATCCTTAAACATGTTAACGACCTTCCTTACAAACCATTTTTTCTTAGTTACACGTAGAGGATTCTGGAAACTAAGCTAATAGATTATACATCTTCCTGTTATGAAGGTACTGCTTTCAAATGAGTAAACAAACACAAAAGGATCGCTAAATGCTGTCACATGTAGGCACTGATTGGGAAACAGAAAATTCGCATCTTGCGTAGCAGAGAACAACAGATATTAAATGCCAGTTGCCCAAATCTGCGATAAAGTCAATGCTCAGAATAACATGCATACATTTACGAAACTGCAGTGATCACGAAAGAATTCTCAATGAGAATTCGACGAGACTCATGATACTTACAGCATATACGTATACTACAAGTCAAGTAGCAAGCAGCAACAGCAGCTTACGCCTTATGTCATTTCCAATTCAGTTTATTCACACGTAAACGGATAACAGGCAGCGAGCGTAACGCCCTCAATATATCTTATTACCATAACACAAAACTTTCAACAACGTGTCGCGTATGAAAAAAAAGCATCAAACAACAAGGTGAAATCACAGAAAGAAATATAAAATTATAAAAATCAAAACGAAATGAAACTGACATAACTTAATGACAAGCCTGGACCGATTCTAAACCGAATGCCACTAAAGTTCCTCGTGCTTCTCCGCTTTTTCTTCTTCTTTCTCTTCTTCACCTTCGGCAGTCGCTTTCTCCTGAAGAGAAATAAATAAAGTGAGTATTTCACCGTATAACAAAGACATCTGACCTCATCGGAGAGCCCGGCGCCTTCCTTCCCTTCAGAGTCTATAAATTTCGAGAATCCTTCCAATGTACGTTCTCCTCCAAAATCGATTACCTTAACGAGGTAACTGAAAGTAAATTGATGAAGTAAAACAAGATCACGCTCACCTTTGAAGAATGAGCAGGGAACATCTTAATGGTTGGGAATGATTGAATTTTGACATCCTCTAACTCGTTCGCTGTTGCGTCCATCTTTGCGACAATGACTTTGTCACTGTCTTTGTATCGTTCGCCGAGTTCTTCCCAAATCGGTGCCAACTGCTTGCAATGGCCACACCAGGGAGCATCTAATAGAAACAGTTGGTATTCACATATAATCATGTACGGTGTGATTACAGAATTCAACGATGACTGTTTTCTCTGGATCACGAGCAACTGCGTCGAAGTTCTTTGCGACTAGTACTTTCACCGGTTTTTTGTCCCAGTCTTCGGGAATTTCCTCTGACAAAAGATGAGGCTAAAACATTTAACTGTTTAAAATGAAATGCATGGAAAGAATAAACATATTTAACATTCGCATAACACTTCACATATAATGTCATTCTTCGTCGAATTTAGTAAACCACTACTTCTTTCAAGTTCCCTAATCATCAGGCTGATAAAGTTTCAGGCTAGTTGTTCAGACTGCGGTCAGTCACAAAGGTGGCAGTAAGATCAGTTCAATGTGAGCTACCTGGCCGTCGCTTAGCAATCAGAGTCAAACCGCATATATAACGAGGTACTTGAAGAAATCAAGTGGTGGAATTAAACGATGTCGCTCGCGGCAAAGTCTCGTTAGGGCAGGGAAATCGAAAAACGAATGTTTGTTGCATCAACATGCATCGCTCATTTTTGTAACACAATGACAGAAAACGTCAAGTTCGCAGATTTATAAATAAACGATTTTTTGAGGTCATCCTGCAAATCAAGCCATAAAGAATTCTACCTTGTCGGAGACTAGATTTATATTATACACTGCTGCCAATAACTAAATGAATGACAGAAGATAGAAAGATAGTACGATCCAACAAACATGTGAATGTCATTCTACTTATTATGTGACACAATCATCGAAAGTTCACTCATCCACTTGTAAACCATAATCAGAGATCCGCATTACTCTATCCGCAATTTCTACAGATGTATGCAAACTTTGTCCTAATTACAGAGCAAATATTTTTTTCAGTACCACAGAAAAGACCTGACCATGTTTAAACGACTTTCGAGTCCGACTTCTCAATTTTATCAGCACTAAATCTACACTAATCTCACTTCAAAATGAACAACTTTGGAGTAACAACAGCACCTACTTTCAGTTTTTTGGCCATATAGTCTTCAGCGAACTTGGCGATGTTTTCGATGGTCAGTTCAGTGAAGTCCGGCTTATATTTCAACATGCCATCACCAAGACTGATCAGACTGAAAAGAATCATCGGTTACAACGTCAATACAGCAAGAAGATTAAGAAGAAAAGAAACAAGCTTACCGGATAGCAGGTACATCGGCTTTCTTCAGTGCAAAGAAGTCCATGATCTTCTCGTTGTCCTCAACGTCGACGTTGATGAAAACGAACAGTATCTGAAATTGCTGCTGTGTTAAAACAAAGCGTTCGTTAGCGTATGCTTCAAAGAGAACACCGACCTCTCCTCTGAACTTGCGAGCCACGTCCTGAAAATATCCTAAGACTTTCGAGAACTCCTCTGACTGCTTGCTAGCGAACAGGATCATATGCTTCGTAATGTTTCCACCAAAAATTTTTTGGGCTGTCTAAAATGCATTAAATTGACCGGTCCTCGAACATGGCCTTCCTACCTCTTGGCTGAATTCGCTGACCAGCGGCAGGCTGCTGACCATAACCCAGTTTGCCAAAACTTCGGCAGTGAATTCGCCGGCGAAAGATTCCACCGCTTCGTCTGACTAGAAAGCGAAACTGTCAGTTTTGCAAAGTAGAACGTGAATAGTTCATTTTTGCCTTCCTGTAGAGAACGACACCATCTTGGTTCACGGATAACTCTTGATACACCGCATCTTCAGCGGTGATGCCGAACGAAATATCATCAAACCTGTTGGCAACTTCCATATACACCTTTGCTTTGTCGCTCTCCTTGTTCTGAAAAAAATGGTAGAAAGTTCATTTAAGTTCTCTAAACATATCATTTTTCACAGAATGACTTTAAAAAGGTTTACAAGACTGGTAATGAAGATGTTTATAATTAATTAAAAGCTGTCAGGTATTTGTACACGGAACCATTAGTACGAAAGAAAATAAACGGAAAGCAAAATATCTGTATGAAAAACAACATTGCTGCCATGAAACATGACAAACAGCATGTCATGGTTCAGTCGATTTCCCTCTGAATTTGCACAATCTATCAAACCGTAACAGATCCGGCTTAATCAGAGGGGTTAATCAGATGCAGGATCCTTCAAGAAAAAAACGTTTTCAATAACAGG